GTTGTACGTTACTAAACTACTACGTCTTCTTCGTCACGAACTACCAACTAATACTACTCGCGACGTGGAGGCGTTCTACGACGACGAGGAGGTAGTACTCTCCTCCTCTCTCTCTCTATCTCTCTCTCTCTCTCTCTCTATATATATATATATATATATATATAGTGGTTTGATAGCTGTTTTGTGTTTTGTTGTGCATTCATAGACAAACATATGTATGGGTGTCAAAAACCATTGGCACATGCATAATGCATGAACATGCTTAATTGTTTGTTAAGTATATGGGGAATTTACACAAAAAACGTGCATATAATACATATATAATCTTAATAATGAAGAGAAAAGGCACTTCAACTATATTTCATGCTATTCTCTTACGCTTGTTTTGATAGTTCATATTGTTCTCTTAGTGGCTTATAAGACCAATAATTTATGTCAGAAAACTGTACAATGTCATCCTACTGTGTAATAATTTAATAAAGTTTCTTTGAAATGACGCATTGGAATGATTCCATACTATGTGTCACAATGATTTGATAATATGTATTATAGCTACTTTTGTTAAAATGCCCTTTAAGACCATTGTTCTAGATTTCTTTATATTTCTGTATCCTTTCGGAAATGCTTTTGTAAAATCAAACTTTTACATTCCTAAAATATCACTGGCTAAAATATTTTCTCCTTAAAGTTTCTCAATCTAAATTGTCCTCAAATGATCTAACTTGCCCGTTTTAGTAATTTTCCATAATCCCTTGGCTTCTATACCTTTCTAAGACCATTCAAATTTCCTTCAAAAATTTAGTTGCTTTTTGAATCATCTTCAACATTGGGGATTCCTGATCCCCAGAATTTTATGTTGCGCATGTAGAGGACATGGTGGCTCTTAACCACCTCTTCATGCACCCTGGATTTGGCAGATCAATCTGGAGGTGCATCTTGGACTTGTTCAATATTGGCTAGTACTTTTTCTAGATTAAAGCTTCTCTATTAGACTTTGGTCCTTAGATCGGGTAAGAGGTCTTCTTCCCATTCAGGCTTCTTACCATCTTATGGACAATTTGGGAACAGTGTGTATAGCAGTGAAAAGTGTGTAGCGGTGAGGACTTCAAAGGCCCTATGTTTATGATGGTGTCTCATCAAAAGAGAAACCTAGGACCAAACATACCAATATACACTAATGCCTAAGGTGCCTATGTCACCATGGTTTGAACTGATGTCAATACCGAACACTCCTATGTAAATATGAAATAATATAAATACAATATGTATAATATGATTAAATCACATTATTGTGCACTAAGATATGGTATATATATGCATTCAAAATGTTGAATATTTATTCACCATGTAAGCTATTATATGTGCATCTTCGATATGGAGGGATGCATATATCCATCTACATATCTTGAATTTCAGGGGATGCCATATTGTATCCCCATTCCTTGTATCCGTGCTCATATCCGTACTCATATCTGTGCATCCTGGTTCAGTACCTTGATGATCTCTTGGGCGCTTGTATAAGTTTGACTTTCAGGGGTTTAGAGCAAAAAGATCATGATTAGAGATTGGGGGAAATCTTCTCTAGGGCCCTATTATTCCTAGACCTACGATGCGCTAGAGTAGGCCAATTTAGGGGTTGTGAATGTAAACTTTGACTATAGCTTTTTGGGAAATCTTGGCCCATGTGGTACAGGTGGCTTATTTTAGGGAAGTAATGAATTTTTTTAAAGCGTTTTATGGCCCTTCGGCAGTATGTCACGCCACTTAGGCTGAGGCTAGATATTTGTTAATGGAGAGCAACATTGGCTTGATTCTTTTCGAGTTTGTTAATAATGGTACACAACTCATTGAGAGTGATTTGATGGTCAACATCATGAGGTACGAAGTGCAGATATGCTTGCTTTTTATTTTTTACTTTTTTCTTTTCTTTTTATACTTTTTTCTTTTCTTTTTACTTTTTTCTTTTCTTTTTTGTCTTTGATAGGTCAGTGAGTTTTCGTATTTTTTTTTAAAGGATCTTTGAGCTCAACAAGTCCGTGTCAAGTTACCTGTCATTATGTCCTTAGAGATGCTAATAAGTCCGTAGACTACTTGGCCATAGAAGTGATTCACTGTATGGTGCATAGTTACTAGGATCCCCTAACCAACAACAATTTTGCTCCTGAAATTCATCCTAGCGCTCCGGGAGAGGGATCGCAATTTTTTAATTTTTGGATCTCAATCCCCACTGATAGGGATCGCGACCCAAACTGTGTTGAATGTGAATAAGGGGGTGTTAGTCCACCATATTGTACACATTATACAATGCTAGTCTAGTGACTCTAGTCAAGAGCAACAAATACGAGATGTTGACCTGGCAGATTTGCTAGTGCACCACATTGGACCAGAATATATAATATTATTTAGCATGATGTAACATATAAATAGAATGATATAATGTAATATATCATAATCTAATTTCATATAAATAATAATTAAAATAATATTTTATAGTCTAATATCATTTAATAGACAATTGTCACCATTGAACTTGAAAAGGGGGTATGGAAAGGTTATATGTTGTATAAAGCTATCCAAGAACTATTCTAGTGAATCAAGTTAGAGCGAGATCCCCAAAAAATTGGGATCAAGATCTCCAAAAGTTGGGCTTTATATCTTTGAAATATGGATTGCATGGTTGATGCTCCCTACCATAGGGATCTTCTAGCCTTTCACGATCACCCCGCGTCCGATCCCCAAAGAACTCCTGATCATGCTTCTAATCCCAACAACTATGGTATGGTGTGGTCTTTTGGTGATATTTTCCATATTCTCCATCCATAAGTCTCTTTAACATCTACAATGTTATATATATATATATATATATATAAAGAATACACACAAACACACACACACACACACACACATATGCATATATACATATGTAGAAATTCTTGGGTCGTTATTTCTAGTTTGAGTGATGTATTTTTGTGTTCATAAGAGCATACTCTGGTTCACTAAACGAAATCTGGTTGTTTATTCAGAAGTTCTTGGTGAAGATGATGCTTTTTCATTGCAAACCCAGGACATATTATCTATTACCTTTTAATCAGGGCATTTCAACATTAAATAGATTATGAGAGAAAAACATTGCGTTGATGTAAATATGGAAAAAGTTTATATAAGGTGTCAACCTTATACTGTACAAGTAAGGTCCACCTTAGAAACCCATGGGGAAAGGTTGTTTCTTCACTAGGAAACTCGCAAATTGATCATCTCGACATTGATATGTATGGATATAAAAGAAAACGTGAATTTCAAGCATTAAAAATAGTACATCTTATAACACATTGTCCATACCGTCCATTGTCAAGATCTTAAAGTATTCATAGATCTGCTAGATCTACAACATTCTTGGAGCTTTCAATTTCATAATAGGGGTCAAATAGATTTTTCGGTCATCACAAGAGTTTCGGTATCAAAAATACACTTTTAACAAGATTTTCAGGTGCACCTTACCGTGATTGTTTAGGGTTGACACCTTATACAAACCTTACCCATTAAATATTACTCTTGTGGAGATTTTAAGGCTTTGAGATATTTGGAGTTTTGTCACTAGACATGATTAAAGTATTGTTGCAATGGAATTGTTTTAAGACCGTATATGTTTCCTAGGAAGAGTGAAGCCGGAAGTTGAAGTGGATCGAGATTCATTTGGTTTACAATAAGGAGGGAAAAAATTGATCTGCAGGACAAAAATTGGTATTAAAACTTTCTAATGGATTCACAAACCCCCAAAAGATTAAGGGGTTTACCATGACTATCACTGACTTCCACAGCACCAGGACGGCTATATTCCCTTCCTTGACAACATAGTTTGCAAAACAGTGTTGAAGGCATGGTTTTTTGAAAACAACGAAGTTCTTTTGAAAAATGATTAGAGCTTTGCTATCTTCAAAAATTGGTGGAAAAAATATATACTTCTGGATAAAACATTTAGAATGTATATATTTGTTTTCCAAAAAACTCTTTCAATAGCAATTGGTTAACAGTTTGCTTTTTGCAGAATTTTTTTATCGACGGTGCATCGTAGATTTGTGTAATTTTCCTAGGAAACTCGAAGTAATCATTTGCAGAGATAATTCTTTTTCTTTTCTTTTTCTTTGGCAGCTCAGCGGTAGAATGGAACTTGGGACCTAGTGTTGCAGTTGTCAATAACTAACCGTTTAAGCACAAGCTAGTGCTTGCAAAGATAATCTTATTTAATCCAACATATTAAAAGGAAAGGAATTTTGGTCTTCTGCAATGAAAACTTGTTTTCAAAGACTGCTACAGCTGATTTTGAAGAGGGGTTTCAAAATTTCGTAGTTGCATAGATTAATATCGTAAATATATGGTTGCATGAATTAATTTATCCAAACAAATGATGAAAAAATGTATCGAAGTAAATTTGTGTATCTAATTTTCCCCAAGAATCTCCTCCTTTCTAATTAGTTTACCCAAAATTTTGATGATAGAGGTTGCAAAGGGAGGGCCAATGGCACATACTTCAAAAGCTTGGTCTAGTTGGACTTTAAGAGTGCTCTGCATGCTGCTATACATGGGGCATCTTGTTAGGATCTCATGAATAAAGTCCCAGCTGGAGTGGGACTCATGGGTTGATTAGTTAATTTTGTTAATTTGACTTGTTATTTGTTGTTATCTTAAGATTAGGTTGTTGTTTTGGTATTGTCTTAAAGATTAAGTTGTTATAGCGACCCCTCCATATATTTAAGTTGCTAAGGAATAATGAAACGATATGCGTGGATTTTAGTTTAGCTTATCAGTGCATTAGACACATTAGGAGTTAG